TGTATAAACGTTCAACGGGCGCTTGTGGCACTGTAAAGCAGAATCGTTCCGGTTTTCCAAAATTTCAAGAAACATTGCAGCGAGGAGAGCAGTCTGTACAACATACTACAAATATGGTAGCTATAAAGTGGCATGATAAAAAATACGTATATATGCTATCAACTGTACATAATCCCTCAACGGTACCAATAGAAAAAAGAAGCTCGAGCATCAGTAAAGAAATTCTCAAACCATTATCCATAAAAGAATACAATGAAAACAGGGGTATCGTAGACAAATCTAGTATGCAGATAACATTTTCAGAATCTCTTTGAAAAACCATCAAATGGTACAAGAAACTTTTTTTCCACATAATCGATCTGTCGGTTATCAACAGTTATAATTATTCAAAACTATGAAACATCAAAATCTTCAACTTTCCAAATTTAAATTAGAAATTATTCGAGAACTTATTGTAAGGTGCGGTGCAAAGAAAACACATGTTGGGAGGCCATTGAATGCTCATCCACTGCGATTGACAGCCAGACATTTTCCGTCTCTAGCTCCTCCAAATGACAATAACCAGACTCCTCAAAGAAGATGCTATGTTTATAGCAATACTGAACGGCGTGCAAAACAATGGAGGGATACGTGCTACCAATGTACTGAATGCGATGTTGGACTGTGTCTTATTGGCTGCTTCAAAGATTTTCATACCTTACAAAAGATTTGACATTATCTCGTGCAAATCTATGAAACTGAATAAAAAATAAGCAGCCATAATGATTTTCTAAAGTACTCTTTTCTCTCTCCTATGTCGGCAGCCAAAGGGTTAAGACAATTAGTAGTTATCTGAAATAACTGCTAAAATGAAGAAGATGCATTAGTGATCAGTAATGTAAAGAATATGAATAAGTTTTCGACATTCACTTTAATATAATTGATGTCGAGGGTGTAGGGAATACTGGTAGTTACAGAAAGATTAGAACAAACGGCCTGTTGGATTTGCGATATCAAGTCTGGTTATTAACCTAGTTATCGCCCTCACAGTGAGGATTTTAGCGCATATTCTTTGTAGTGCCATTGCATTGATATACCCATTAGTGAATAAAATTCACGTCTTTTTTTTATGTGTTGCATGCAACTTGTTTCCATGAAAGCTGTTTAATTATATACAGCGAGCGTTAATACGCACGTGATAGGCAGGATCCAGCATGAATGCTGATGAAAACTGGTAACCCAATCATTTTCTATCGATTAAGACCACTAGGAAAACGAGGGTAATGAAGCGTGAAGTTAACACAGTTCTTCCGAAACTTAACTTGTGGTCATTGACAATAACAGTTATTAAATAGTGCGATGGAATTTTGACTTCCGCTTTTTATTACAACAATCGCATCGGAAATCCATACATTTTTCGTTTTATCCAACAAATCTTGACTGTAACTTTAAAGCGGTTCTTGTTTCTTTTCATCTGATTTAATTCATTTCTATATTTGTACGATTACGCATAAAAAAGAGCGAGCTTTCTTCGAGGCGTATTTCCGTCATATATCAGAACTAAATAATTATCAGTACGAAATCGCATTCTGAAGTCACGCGACAACTTTACAAACTATCATCAGTCATTGCGTCAACATTGTTCCCAGTTTTTGAGAAAATAAGAATATCTTTAATAGAATCGTGGATATTACTTAGAAGTGTGCTCGTGTAAATAGTCATATTCGGAAGGAATGAAGTCATCGATAACTTACAAAAGCTTCGCGGTCAATGTAGAGCAAGTAGTCAATGCATTTTTAACAATGAATGAGAATGATGCTCAACTCTAAAACGCTCAACAAATGAGCAACTTGAATTTAGAAGAACACATTGCTGTCATGAAATAGCTGGAGACACTCAGTACTCGTTGCACACTTCTCTGTGACTAGATGAGAAGCTCTCATTATTATCTTGTTTCAAGCTTATTTACTTCAAGAAATTCAACATTGTTGTACGACTATCTCGCATGAAATAGTTTCGCCAGTAATGTGTATGTATAGATCCTGAAAAAATAAAAAGCTATTCTCCGCTTATCGATTGAGTGTTGATACAACTGTTAACTTCGGCAAAGATTGCGTAATATCTACTATCTTTCAAAATGTTGTGTGAATGTAAATGTAGATGATGGTATTTTCTCAAATACTAGAAAAAAGCTGGATAATTTAAATTACTCTTAAATCAGTCTAAATTGTATTAATCATCCAAAATCATTTGAAATCAATCTGAATTTTCTGAAGCCTATGAAAAATCTAAAGTGATTTTTGCCGAAGTTTTTTACTGTAAATAAATTTGTCTGACTTTTGCTATGTTACTGAATTTAAGTAGTGTTAGTTTACTCGTTATCTAGATGCATAGCAACTACATATACCTGACTTGAAAGTAATATTTAAGTAGATTAAGAAGTGTTTATGTACAGCTTACCTGATTGTTCAGTTTTGATAGCAGCTGGTGTTGATGGTGTTGTTACCATCAATAATGACGATGTTGCCGTTGGTGATGGTATTGTTTCTATCGATGACGGTGACGCTGCCGTTGACGATGGTGTTGTTTCCATTGATGAAAGCGATGATGTTGTTGGCGATGATGTTGCTGGCGATGATGACATTGATGTTGATAATGTTACCGTAGTGACATTCCGCTGTTTTCGTGCAGGTATGACGAATTTTAATATCAGAGGAAGTAGAATTGCAAGCATTGCTACAACGATAAAGCAGATGCAAATGGTCTTAAACCAACGATAATGCCACCATTTTTGCAATCCAATACTTTCATTGACTTGCTCACTTAACATCAACTCGTTAAGTATATTGTGTTCTATAAGAAACTTAAACTGAGAAAAGAACGAGACTTTGGACGAAAACAAGCACTCACATTCACATCAACATAAATGTTTTTGTCAATGCAGAAAAACCTGCTAACGATGCAAGAGTGCATGAAGAGAAAGAGAATAGAAGTTTGTTACATTTCACAACTATACAAGTGAATGAAAGCAGTCTATAAATGTTGATAAAACAATAGTAAAACTATTCTAATCATAAATAACATAACCGATAACGTAGATCAGTACGAATGAGAAATCATTAGAAAAAATGAGACACATCCCGTTCTGACCTCGACAAGTCAGTATCTTACAAAAAAACCTTTCTATTGGGACATCTTTAAGAATGAAGAAAAGAAACAAAAGAGAATTTATATTGAACAAAAGTTAGATTTAGAACATTTCTACAGACTACTTCTAGTGAAAAAAACGATTGATAGGTACGCGTTCATTCTAGCCAACTAATATCCCTTTCAACTTAAACGGCGGATGGCTATTTTTTAATAATTTTCGATTAGTACATGATGCAGAGTAGGGGTGTCACACTTACCACTTACCACCACTTCCACTTGCCAGGTAATTGGTAAGCGTTTTGGTCATTGAAAATTTAACTGTATAGCATCAATAAATGATTATTTTAATCATTAATTATTTATTCTTGTGTGGTAACCCTCATCACTTACCACTTACTGGTAAGTGGTAACCAGCACTACTTACCACTTATCTGGTAACTGATAAGCGGTACTATTTACTACTTACCAGTAAGTGGTAAGCGGTACTAGTTACCACTTACCACTCACCACTTACTGGTAATAGTAATGGAGATATGACACTTCTAAGGTAGAGGCACGGTTTTTTGTTATAGATAGAGTAACTTTCGCGCTACAAAACAGTGCTTAACCCAAGTTTTTGAGTTCAGTTTTTTGACCTTGGGGGTGCACACGATCTTGTGGGCATGCCACCAGACCAGCAATAGTTGCGAAACCCTATGTTATTGCGATGGTTAGATTCGTCTTGTCGAGAGCTACAAGAATTGTGGTCGATCGAATTTTTTATGTCGAACGTTGCAGAATATATGACCACCCCAGGGAGCTCGATTTTGCGAAAAATTGATCCACCAATTTCCACTGTTTAAGGTAAGAAACAAATTTTCGTAAAGATTGTCGACTATGGCGAATCTAATGGAACTGTTTTCAGCCAAAGTTCACTCTAATATTCCTGAAAAATGACACACCAGATTTCCTCTCGACGGCATAAATTGCAGTTTTCTGGCTTTTTTCTTTTTAGTTTTAACTTGCTTCGTCTAACTTATCATTGTGGAATTATTTCTGATTAGATAGGTATCCATTAGCTATTGTTTTACTGGAAATAATTTAAAAAGTGAAATAAAACATACAAATATCAATCTAGAATGCCTTCTGCTGCCGAGCTCACATCATCATCGTCGTCATCGATTAGATCTTTCTCTATCTGATCGATAAATCGATCAGATTTCTTGAAGGTTTGTTCGATCTCGAGGATGTGATCGATGTAAGCAGCAGAGTCACCAGCAGTCAATAAAGACATCCATTGCATAGCCAAATGATGCACGTCACTGAGTCGAAAATTGATGTTGTTTTTTCGTACGAGGTTTTTCGGACCAGACCACACCAGTTCGATTGGATTAAGTATACAGTGCTTGACTGGTAACCTACAAATGGATAAGCATCGAGTTTGATCATTTTCATGTGGTCAATTTACCGTAGTATCTGAACATTATATTTTGCTACCACTTCGTCTACAACATAGCGCTTTGGTGGTGGATTTTCGAGGGCCACTTCGAAAAGTTCAGCTTTTGTCATGTTGTCAGTAAAAGGAAGGTCGTGTTTGTCCAGCCAGCTGATGATTATTTACTTCTTCCATGACCATTTTGGTAGCATCGTCTCTTCTGTTAATCGATTATGCCAGGTAGCATTGTCGAGTATCAAAGTCACTGTGGCATCTTTCCCTAGAAATGAATGCATAGAGTGAGGTAGGTGGATGCCGTGAGTTGTCTTACCGAGCTCCTTTCGTATGATACCGGATGTTCGATTGATCCATGCGGTGAAGTAGTTCGAGTCCATGCTATGATTTTCATCACATTCGAAGATATCTAACGATGGTAAATGAAAGGCAAAGTTTGATAGTAAGGCCGATACTGCAAGTCTTTTCCTGATTGCACAAATCATAGTCGATTGGTGTAAACAATTGTGGATTTACCTTTCCCATCACTTTCTCGTAATCAACCTTTACCAGTTGTTCCATCAGTCCAAATGAAAGCCTTCTCTTCGTTTTTGTTACACCAAGTCTCGTCATGCCAGAAAATCGTGCTACTCTTGCTCCTTAATTGGCCAAGAGCCCTGAAATAACGAGCACATGCGGCCATAAACGATGGCGAATCCATAGGGATGATAACTTTTCAAGCACGTTTGTAGATGAAGCCGAACTTTTTCATCCATCGCCATAATGTTGTAGGAGAATGGACCGGGAAATCATCATCATCAGCCAAGATATAATTGAGAATCTTTTTATCTGATAATTGCTTCTAATCTTCCTTTTTCGAGTTATTTTATTTGTTTAACTTATTCCATGATTAGCTATTCAATTTTAAAAATCAATTACTTTATTTCAAAATTTATTTTATAATTTAATGACGTTTCGAAGGACACGCCCTTCTTCATCAGGCTATTCTACAAATTGATATACAAATGAGTAACACACGTATATATATATATATATGTACAATTTGAACTCTCTCTTTTTCTTTTTCTTTTTCTTCTTGATTTTTCAATAGTGGAACGGACGACAACAAGACCATAATACTGGAGCATAAAGAAGCTGT